AGCAGGAATTGGGCAGGACAGATGTTTCATTCATAAAATGTATTTATTTGAAGAGATGGACTGAAAATGTTACAAAATTCTCTCAAAAAAAGAAAGAAGGTAGATTCTCAAATATTATTCTTTTGCATTCTTAATTAGATGCATGTACTATTGTAAATATTTCTCTGTGAGCAAGCAATTTCACTCCCTAATCGCACTTTACTGTATATTTGCAGTTCATTACTACAAAGTGCATTTCTCTGTACCTGGAAGCCCATTAGCTTCTCTGCTGTGCCGTGCCACCACAGCTGGAACCCTCATTTTTGGATCTTTAGACACAAAGGCTCCAGTGTGGCTGACCTACATCAGAAGTAACTTAATATATAGATAATTTCCAAGCAACTTTAACTTGGAAGAAGACCCTAAGGTTCTGGAAAAAGTCACACTTAACGTCCCAGTGGCAATTAATTATTAGCCCTATAAAATTAAGGTGGAATATGAAAGAAAACGCTGCCACATGAGTCATACTTTCATGCTTCATTCTTATTCTGAATATTTTGTATTCTGCATCAGTAATACTGATTATTTTACAACTGCATATTAATCTTCAGTATAAAGTGTTTTATAGAAAATTGATTTGAAGGACATCTGTTTTTAGAAGGTCAAATTATGGTTATGTGTAATTGTGGTTATAATTTAGATAAGGAGGCTGAAGGCTACATTGACAAAAACCCTGAGGCACAGAGACTCCGACTGGCACAGACTCAGTCACCTAAGACTACAGTGAGCCCCCAAAACTCTGCCAAACCCAAGAAGGTCCTAAAGTCTTGTTGGATTAAGCAGCTTAGGTCCCACCTCACACCTACACCAGTCAAGGACTTGGACAGCCAAGGGCACGCACAGGGTTGGCATAAAGTGGAAAATAACACGCTTAAACACTGGTTGAAAACAGATCTCCTACACCTTGGAAAAATTGTTCTAGTCTCCTGTTTGCAGAAGGGAGACCAATGCTGGACTTGCAAGCAGAAGTAGGTGCATCGTTGTACAAGAAGGAGCAAGCCAGAGAAAGAAACTGGGCTTAAAACACACCTGTCCTCAGCATTCCTTATCGTTACGTGTCATGTAGGTATCTAGGTCTCTAAGTCTGACTCCTCTATAACAACTCAGACTTCAATGTAAGTTGTCACAAAGCTCAGCTTCGTGACTCAGAAGCTTCTTTATGGGTCCATCCCTGTCTTTCATTTGTGAGGGTAAAGGAAGCTCTGCTGCTTTGGCCATCTTCCTCAAAGTCTCACACCTTTTTTTGCAGCTCTGAATGCTAACAAAAATGGAGGTAACTTAAGGCAAAGGTGAAAATATCTCATTAGTTCATGGGCTTTGATCAATGACAGGACCCACAGGGCCAGTACACAACAGTTACTATCAGCTGTTTCCCCGCAAAGAGGGCAAACACCAAAATCATAATTAAAATCTCTGCTTCTGGTATCAATAATTTATAATATTTTGTCATTATTTTGTTATGCTTATGTTTCTCTTGTATTTGGAGTGAAAAGAAATGAGATTTAATAAATAAAATGAAGAAATCACATGACAGTACAACAGCCTGAAGGGAAAAAGGGGACATTTCCAATACCTCACTGTCAGTAACTCATTTGTGCATCAACTTCCTGCTGCATATTAGCATTGCTTGAGCAGCAGGGCTTTCCTGGGGAAATGTTGGCTGGATTAATTGCCAGGACCACTGACACTAATTGTCAGTACTCATAGCTTCCTGGGGGTGAATGAGCATATCATTAACTCAGCTACTGGAAGAGGTGTTCCCATTCCTATCAGCCTTCCATAGGATTGGACATTTTTTAACTTATTTTTAGCCCATTTCTAGTAAGGCAATGAAAATTTATTTCCTAAAAGAAAATATATTGAATTAAGGCATCAAGGAGATGCCATCTTCCTTGTGGTTTGTGAAAGAGGCAGAGACTGCCCATCCCTGAGACTAGCTATGGTGATGGTAAGACAAAAGGGTTACTCCTTCCATAAATTAGTAGCTGAGTTACAGTATATCCGTTATCTCGCCCTTTCTCTGATGCAGACCAGTTGCTCAAAGAATGTCAGGAAAGTCCATTTTTCTAGTTCTGTTACAAAGGCAGCCTCAGTGACAGAATAAAGTGGTTTATGTTTGATACTCCACCAAAGCTGAGCCAATGGAGTCCTGAAAAAATATGTAATTAAACACACAGAAAAGGCAGGCAAAGATGGAAAATGAGAGGATGGAAGTTTTTTCTAAGAAACAACCTATTGAGGATTTTTAATAAAATGAAAAAGACTGTCAAGGAAACTTTACTTACCAGGAATGTAAGGAGGGTTGTTGATATCATTAACAGCACATCCAGGATATTGGCCTTTTAAGAAATTGGATGGTTCATTCATATCCTTTAATAAAGAGCATAAGACACATGTCAAAAGACTCATTTTTCTTTTTTTGAAAAAAAGATAAATATACAATATATAATGAGACATACAATCCAGATCCCATCGTAGTCAAGGACATCTTTAAACTCCAGACACAACTGGGTCCACCACTCAACGGTCCTGGGGTTGGTGTAGTCAGGAAACACAGAATGTCCAGAGGGCCAGGCCTGGAGTTACATATAATGACTGGTTATCTTCTCATTTCTGTTAAGTGCTTTATCACTTTGAAGCAGCACTAGACCAAATGCGTGAGATAACGTAATAAACCGACCTGTCCAACAGCAGGAGTTACGCCATCAGAGTTGTTCACCCAGACTCCCATTTCCTGTCCAAGATCATAAGGCTTGTAAGTGCCCGGTGCTTCGTCCTTACTTATGAAAGGGTCCTGAAAACAGTGATTACAATTCCATTAGCAAAATCTCAAAGGTAACAATTAGTTTTCAATTTGTATATTTTAGAAAAATTTGGATAATGTTCTTAATGCAGATTGCAATAATACTGGAAGAAAATAGCATTAAAATTTAATAAGAGTTGAGAGTACATAATAATTTAGGAAAAGTTATGTCATTTAATGTTATTAAAGATATGTCATGAGTTTTTCTTGTATAAAGCAAAAGTGATGTGAAATTATTAAATACCCTCATGTTTATGTTTTATGAGACACTCTGTTCAAATTATTTGAGAGTGGCGCTAGATTTTACTTTACATGTCTCTGCTTGGCAGAGCAAGGTGCCACACTGGGCATTCCCACACCTGGACACCTCTGGGTTTCCTTCAAGGCAATCCTCATTCCAGCTGCCTCAGCATCAGCAGCTCAGTGCGGGAATAACTAAAACTTCACAAGGGGCTTGAAGGTGGGACACATCCAACCTCAAAAGGACCTTATTGGCACTCCCTTCAGATCAAATGCCAGACTCAAGGGTTTATGCCAGTCTGGTGCAGAGTAACCCAAGTCACACATGCCTGCGGGACCATACATCTCCCCAGGCATGAAGACCACAGCATTTTACACCCCATAGCTCATCCTTGCTGCCCCTTTCACTCGTTGGGGTGGTCACCACCTCCCATTGCTGTCACTGGCACTGACACCACCAGCTTCTCTGCCTCAGGATGGGCATTGGTAGCCACTAAATTCATGGAAATGGAGCCTAATCTGCTCCTGGAGAAGATAGTGGCCCATCATCCCAGTAAGTAATAAAGTTAGGAATACTTTGAGATGCCAGTCAACAAAATTATTTTCTTCAACACTGCTCAGCAGTCAACTGAGACTAAAAGGACATAAGTGCACTTTGCAGTATGTTCCTAATTGGGAGCAGATATGTGTTTTGTGTTATTTAGAACAGAGGAAGATTGCAGACACTTTAGAAGAAGGGAATTCTTTACTTTTCTCTTAGAAAATGTTATTCCCTCAGGGTCTGCTTCAGGCAAAAAACATTCAGTTATGAAATACAATGAGAAAAACACCACTGAAACAATTCTTCCACTTATAGCTTGTGCAACAATTTAAGTGAACGTTAATCAAAATGTGATAGAAGTCTAACTAACAAACTTCTGAAGAACAAAAACTAGCCCATCCCAAATGGTACATTTCTTTAAAGGTGTGTCTTTAAGCTCATTTTAATACCTAAATTAATTGCCTGATTTTCTTGTAAGTTTTCTGATAACTATAGCCCTGGTGAGGAAGGTATATTCTTCCATGGCTCAAAAACAAAGCCCCTGTTAAATCCGCACCTTAAGTGCAAAATTCTGTTCAATTTTAACTATCTAGCTCCAGCATCACCTCCATAAAGACAGTAAGTGTCCATTGCATTTTTCATTTGTTTAACAGTCCAACTTTGGAAAAGAGAAAACTGTCCATCTGCATTAATTATCTTATAATTGTGAAAAAAATGTCTCTCAAGGGACTTGAAGGCTGGAAGAAGTCAGCTTAACTAACTATTCCTAATCCAAACTTCTGGTTTCCTCCATTTGAAAGGTTATTCCAGTGAATAAATCTAATATATTATGCAGGTTTAGTATCATCCTAAAGAGAACAAAACCCTCCCATGCATTCACAGGTTGTTTGTGGGGGAGGAAGTTCATGTCTGTTAAATTTTCCCTAACTCGTCTTTTTAGCAGCTCTTGGAGAGAGGTGCTGATCATCCTTAACTCCAACTGAATGCCCTGAGACCTGGGGGCACCCAGCACTTACCCAGATGGATGCATTTCCACTTGTGGCCTCAGACATAGATTTTGATACACATCCATAAAAATGCATCTCTGGAAATTTTAGCCTCTACAGCTCAGAGCTGTACTTTAAAATGTTAAAGCTATCAAGCATTATTCTGAATCATTAGCATGTTGCTATTGACTTTTAAGTAATTTGTCACTCGTCATTCCTAGCTACTTCTATTTTTGGTGTGATTTAGTGGAAGGTATACAAGGTCTTTCATTATAGGTCCTCTTCAGTAATAATGTTTGTTATTTTACAGTGTAGTCATTGTTACTTTTAGAACTTTTTTCTTTGTTTCTAAAGAAAATACATGTTCTGAATCAGCTGAAGCATGCACATTATTCAGTGCAATAACGATGACCAAGTACTGACACTCTTAGACAAAATTTCCCTTAAATGAAGCTGACTTCTGAAAGATCAGGAGAGAGAAGTGCTGAAGGACTGCATTTAGAGACTCCAGTAATTAAGTGGACTCCATGCTACTGTTAAGGTGACCATAGGCACAGAGGGCTCTCAGCACTGGGTGCAAGCATGGGGATGGGACCAGCCACCCCAGCAACGGTGGCACAGCCGAGTCCAGGGTCCCATGCTCAGGCAGGTTGCCAGTGCTAATACTGCTGGATCTCAGGATCTGCACTTTGCTTGTGACCATAGTGGTTTGAGATGAGGAGGACTGAACCCATCACTCCCAGATCCATTTGCTAGAGATTTTACATGACACTATGTGACTGCAATCAGAGCCCATTTCCTGAAATCATCATGAGGGAAGCAACACTTGGGGAACTCACTCATTACTGTCACTACACAAAATTGTTCTTTGGGTATCACATGGGATTACACTTGCCTTGATTGCAGTTAGCATGGCTTTGCTGTCACTTGAGAATACTTCACAATGTTCCACCTCCTGACTTAACTTACGGGAATGCTTTACATCACTGAAGAATGCCAACAGTCAGAGTTTGACAGAAATATCAGCAACTCAATAAAGTGAAAATCAAAAACTTCATGTTAGCTTTTTAAAAATGAAAGACAAACTGGATCAGCTTTTGTTCCTTTTCACAAGCTTATCTAAAGAACTAGAGCAGAAAATGGTCCTTAGTTACAGGTTAGTGGAAGGAGGAAAGAAATGCTTCCTATCTGGATGCCTATTAGCTCATTGCATGAGTTAAGAATTGCTGTTGTATTCCTTGCATCTGTCTAGCAGCTGAATTTGAATTTATATAGCAACAGCTCCCTGCACTGCTCTAGCATGCACCATCTGAGAAACTGAAAGGCCTTTAAAAACATTGTTGAAGTTAAACTCACAAGAAAGAAGATAATGTAGCTCACCCATTAAACCATGACTGCTTGCCTGTAGCTTCTTACCCAGAAGAAAGTGCAAAGCAAGTGGACACACCCAACTTTGATGAAAAAGAGGTGAATACTGAATATTTACAGAAGGGCAAGAGTGTCCACAGGAAGAGTTACCCCAGACTCATGGTATTTTGCTGATATATTCTTGTCTCACAAACTCTTTTGTGATAAACCAATAAATAGGCAGGCAGTATTTAGTGTTTGAGCTCTAAGATACTAGATAATTTTTAGATCAATACTGAGGATATAGGGAGCCTAATCTGCCTCAGAGCCTGAAAGAGCACCCAGTCCTGACAACACATGTGCTCATCTACTGCTTAGTTAGTTATTTACAATAACGTATCCAGTTAATTTGGGGTTATTTTTGTCTTGAAGCTGCTCTCTCCATCAGAGTGACTTAGTAATCTGTTACTGTTTAAACTCTATGCCTTGGTCCTCTGCTGATGGGAACTGTTTTCACTGCTGCACCCTGGGACTTGTCATGATTTACAGCTGCAGAAGACCTGAGATCTTCACAGGAATGTATCTTTGACAACAAATGGCTGGCAAACAGCGCTCACTATATAGACTGCTATTTCCATTAATAATATGTAATTGATCACTTGGACTGTGTGGTTTTGTTCGAGATTTCTAGCAGCAAAAGCAATTATAGTACAACAAAGTGAAGATTGGGCTAATAATAAATACAGAGCAGATATTTTTAATGAAACTACCAAAAAAAAAACCACCCCTAGATTGAAGAACTGCAAACCTCATAACTGTATTTTAAAATAAAACACTGATATGGGTATCTATGGTACTGACTAGTCCATCCTCATCATATGCTAAATTTTATAAGGTGTGGAGGAAAAAATAAGGACAGGGAGGCACTTCTAACTGAATCTATCTATTTGACAAGATAATGTGAATTTTAGATATGGAAATTGCAGTAGCTCTTGGTTATCTTGACTCCAATAAAAGTCTGAACCACCACAAGTGAAAGAGGGACTGTCCCACAACTTAGGATTCTGCTTTCCAGTCTCTCTTCCCACAAGCCTTTGACAGTGCCCCCATGACAAGACAAGGAATGTGGTCCTTATTTTAAAAGGACTGGATGAACTTAGGGCCAAAACATTGGTGGCCTGTCTATTCTTGATTCGGCTGGATTAATTGGTCTCCTTACAAGTTTGAGTCACCAGTATAATGTAGGTAAATGTGATTTGTCATGCAACATTTTTAGCAGAATGAAGAAAATATTTCTGCCGGGGGGGGGGGGGCATCGGCTGGGGCCCTCTGAAATACAGTTTTCTGCTGCATAGGCAAATGCATTCAAACTGGGGCACGTGTGAGGGAGAGCTATTATAGTGAGATCTGACTCACCTGATAAAAAGAGAATAAAATACTTGTTTGTTTAGCCTAGCAGAAAAAGCTGAGGTATAATATGCTTATGTGAATAAGTCTGTCAGGAAAGAAAGTAGCAGGACAAGAAAATGGCAATTTTGGCTAAATAAGAATAGTAGCACCCAAATGAAAGGTATAAGCTGACCATTAAGGCTGAAAAATAGAAGACTGCAATTACAGCAAAAAGTCCTGAGAGGGACTCTGTGGAGTTGTCTTCTCCTCCTTCCTGCATGGGTCAGCTCAGCCTGAGTCATCTCTGATGCATGTCAGACTGATTTGCAACACCCACTCGGGGAGGGACCCCCGACCCCAGGCAGTCCCCTGGCTCACCATGCAGACAGGCAGCTTTATCTTAATGTCTACCTTAAATCACTTCTGATGCAATTTAAAGCACTTTTCTTCTTATTCTGTCCTTAGTGATTATGGAGAACAAATTACATCTCTCTTCTCTGTGGCGATGTTTCGCACCTGCAGGTGCTGCTCCAGGTCTCTGTGCTCCTGAGCCTTCCCGCCCCAATCCTTCCCAGGTGATGTGACTGCCCCAGCCTGTGCTGGCCCAGGCCTTATGCATCTATCAAGGACTTTTCTTTAATTTCTGGCCTCCAATTTCCCTCCACCATTGACACTCACTTAGCTAATGTGAGAAAAAGTCATTTCAGTGCAAGGACATGTATGGGAATTTGCTGGAAAGAAGCAGCAATCTTTGTTGGAAAAATTGATGGGGGAAGACTGAAATCTCTGATTTTCACTTCTGCCCAAATTCATCCATTGGGTCAAATCTCAATTTTGGTTCCAGATTCAATAGACATTTTCCACCAATATTCATGCAAACAAACTTCTCTTACATTAATTTAGATTAAAAGTGAACTGTAGCTACTAGCTCTGCAGAGTGATTTTGAGTAGATTTTGTCCACCACTCTGCTATTTCTGTGTATTGAACCCATTTTTTATTTTTTTGGAGAAGAATTGCATTAAAGCAATCCTGTCTCAACTCAGCCCTGAACAGAGGTAAAAGTTCTCATAATGGAGTGGGAAAAAGTGAAAAGGAGTTAATATTATGGTATAGAGATGGTGCTGGTACACAGATATATGATAAATGCAACACATTTAAATATGAAATCTGTGAGAAATTCTTCAGCTCTTCTCAGTAAATTAAAAAAATGGAAAATCTGCTAGAATAGAGTGTGCGTGTTAGCACCTAGATACTGACATGAACATTATGCTGCAACTAGTTCTTATAAACAGAGAAATAATTAGCAACATCATTAATTTACCAGAATGATGACATTGTGCATTCCTTCCTTCTTCAGTTGTTGGAGGTACTCTGGCAGACCTGCATAATTCACTTTATCATAGGTGAAGTCCAGACGATGTTCCATGTAGTCAATATCAAGATGCTGGACATCCTAAACATGTTTAAAGTAAACATTATTATTGCATTCAGCTCTGGAGTCCTCAGTACATGAAAGACATGGACCTGTTGGAGTGAGTCCAGAGAAGGACCACAGATCAGAGGGCTGGAACACCTCTCCTATGAGGACCAGCGGAGAGAGTTGGGGCTGTTCAGCCTGGAGAAGAGAAGGCTGCAGTGAGACCCTATTGGGGCCTTTCAGTACCTAAAGGAGGCTTATAAGAAAGATGGGGACAGGCTTTTTAGTAGGGCCTGTTGCAACATGACAAGGGGTAGAGGTTTTAAACTAAAAGAGGGTAGATTCAGATGTGATATAAGGAAGAATTTTTTTATGGTGAAGGTGGTGAAACACTGGAACAGGTTGGTCAGAGATGTGGCAGATGTCCCATCCCTGGAAACATTCGCGGCCAGGTTGGACGGGGCTCTGAGCAACTTCATCTAGTTGAGGATGTCCCTGCTCATTGTAGGAGGGTTTGACTAGATGACCTTTAAAGGTTCCTTCCAACCAAAACTATTCTGTGATTCTGTGATTGAAGTATTTGATAAAGAAAATCAGAATATATGCAGTTGCATTTCTAAAAGGTAACACATGAATGAAACCTAAGAGATTTGCTATAATAATCATAAATAATTGTCCTATAAACTTACATGACAGCAATGGACAAAATGGAAATGTAGAAGTCCTTGTTTAGCAACTGTTGGGCAGTGATATGCATCATTAGTACCACAATTTATTTTTAAAATGCCAACACCTCGTACTGCATAACAGTAAATTCACACCAGGATCGCCTGCTACGCAGCCAAGAGCAGCACTTAAGCTGGATATTCAAAGCCCGCTTTAGATATTCTTCTAAACATTATAAAGATATTACATGCAAAACTACTAAATAAGATTATGAACATACTTTTATTCTACAATTATCTTTGTAGTATAATCAATTTTTCTGTATTATAATCTTATTCATCTCACTTTGGATTGTAAAATTAGCTTACACAGTGAAAAATGCATACTTACGTATGGGATATCATAGTAGTGCATGCGATCAACAGTTTTCTTTAAAGTTTCAATGCTGCCATAACCCCATCGGGAGAGGTGAAATCCCAGAGACCAGTAGGCAGGCATGTGTGGGCGTCCAATGGCCTACAGCAGGAAGGAGGAGTACAGAAACGCAAAGGATGAGATGAAGATTTTGGAGAGGAGTTATTCTGAAACACCAGGAGATGCTCCCAGCTAATTTAAGCCAAGAAAATCGGGGCACGGGTATCATACACCCATGAAATACTCTTTCCTTTCTCAGAACGGCTCACTGTACAGTGTGCTTGGCTTCAAAAAAGTGTTTCTCCTGGTGGACCCTTGTCCTGAGCAGAGGCTCTGAGTGACACCCACACCAAGCATCACTTGTAAGAACACCCCAGTGGAAGACACGGTGTATAAAACCCAGGCTACCGTTAAATGAGGGTCTCGCTGAGGTCTCAGTCTCTGCACAGGAGCACGCGCCTTCACCCACACAGCACACGCCTGTGAAAACCCAGCATGGAGCCTCTCACCACCTGACCCGTGCCAAGATCACAAACTCTTTGGTCAACAGCAGGCAAATCTCCGATGCTACACAGCAATCCCAGCTTTGCTAGTTTATCTTGCCACATCTAGCTGAACTAACTCATCAAGAGTTTGATGTTTACTTGAGCTCTCTGAAGTTTTACTTATGTTTACACACCACCCTGATGAAATTCAGTCACTTATGACTGACTGCTTTTATTGCTGGCCCACAGCATTGTGTTGCCAGGCATTGACAAATATCTTCAAGGTCAGAGTTACTGTTTGGTCCCAAAATTCTCAACTGAAACATGAGGTAATGAGTTAAATATGATTTTATAAATATTTGATTTCCACTGGCTCCATCTAATCCAGCTGTAAATTGCGTGAGGAAACTCAATTGAGAGCACAGGGGAGAGAGGCATCCTGCTCTGCTTCCCCCAGTGAGAGCTGCCCTGGCAACCTGGGACAAGCAGCAAGCAACCACGATGTGTCTGTTCTAGAAATAAGCTGAAATCTGGCATTACCTCATTAGTACACACTGATGTTTTCTGGGGCACATATTATGAAATCCAGTTATAAACAGTTAGATCCCATGAAATTAACTTTTGTTCAGTATTTCTAACATTCTTGCAGGCGATACATGAAAATCAAGTAGCTAGTAAACACCCATAACTTATTAATCAGTTGCAGCACTTGACTCCCTTTGGCCATATAACTATTCCTCCCTTATTTCCTTGTGGATCCTCATAGTAAAGTAATTATGCCAAGAAGTGAAAAAGAACAAAACTTGCATATTGGCATCTAAACTCCAACTACTTTCATTAAATAAAATGAGGCACTCCCAGATCTATCATATCTCTGAATCTATTGCATTGCTTAGCTCTCTAGAGATGGCAGTGCATAAAGGTACATCTTCCTATGGGATTTTCTCCAGCCTGACCTGGGAAAGCAATGCTGAACTTGAAATTGCTCTAAAATACGTCACGGATGTTAGAGCTGGTGTGATGTGCAAACCGCACAGAACAGAAAGTGCAAGATACAAGTGGGGAAAAGCAGAGGATGTTTTAATGCAGCCAAGCTGAGGGAACGCACAGCGTAAATTGCTTCCAAATGAGAATGCCTTGTGGACAGACAGGTAAACTTGAAGCACAGATTTGGCTACAATTACAGTGTGCTTCTGCTTGTTGAGATGCTGCTACCTCACCTAATAAAAAGCAGGAGGAGGCCAGAACAGTGGGTGAGGTTAATGGTTTGAGTCCCTCTAGAGGGGATGATCCAGCTGAGAGCACAGTTGCCCTGTACCCCTGCTACTCATCCTGTGCCACCAGGCTTGCCTCACTTCACTCTCCTCAACACCTACTTCAACCTCCAGCTTAGCTGGAGGCTTCAGAGGAAGCAAGAGCAGCTATCAGCAGCATGCTCCTGACACAGCTGCACTTAGCCTTTGCTGCACACCACTGCACCCTTGCTAGGAGAGGCCCTGGACAGATGGCCCACAACCATGCAGGGGGAGACTAGTGGGCAGACACACACTGTTGCCACCACAGTGCAGTCTCGACTGGTTACACATGTCATTAGTTATTTCCAGCCTGTGAGGATGTGTCTGAACCCCCAGATCATCCTTCAAGCTCTGCTGGGGTTTCCCATTGGGAGCTGAATGGGACATGATGGCTCAGGACAACCTCCTAGACACCTCATGAGCAGGCACCGAGGTGTCCAGTACAGCCTAGCAAGCCTCAGGGCAAGACATTTGCTTCTCTGTCACTATTGTACTTGCCATATTAAGGATAAATTCATCTGAGAAGGCAGCAGAGCTTGTTTTAGCCCAGCCAAGGCTGCAAGATGAGCTCTGTGAATCCCACCACTTTGTGCTCCTAAAGCAGATGCACATTTTGCCCTTGCTTTCTCTACTGTAAACAGAGAGTGACCTCTACAAACAAGGTTAAAGAGACAGACCAAAACAAAAGAACTCCCTAATGAAATAAAATGTTTGGTGCACAGGCTTCTCCCCTTGGACAAGAGAAAAGGGAAAAACAGAAATATTAATCCTAACACTAAATGCAGACCCCGGTGCCCTGGCAGGATGTCTGCATGATGCAACCTCCAGCACCGCAGCGAAGAGTGTGCCACCGCCTCTCCCTGAGTGAGCTGGGGGATGGGAACTGCTGCGGGGCTGGGACACCCTGGGTTGCTCCCAGCTAAGGGGCATGGTCAGCCTAGGACATTGTCAATTCAACGCAGGGCAAAAACTTCTGCCCCTGTGTCCTGTCGAGCACCCAGCTGAACGCTGGCGGAGCTGGAGGTGGAGCTGTGGCTAGCAGCATGCCGGCCAGAGTGCTTCCCAAAGGGCACGTCTCCAGCACTGGGGTTTGCTGAGGTTTGGCTACTCACATTTACATGACAGTGCTGTCTCACCTGTGGGCCCCAAAGTGGCCCCACAGCGAGACGGTATTTTGTGACAGCATCCCTTGAGGAGTTTGGGATTGCAGCTGAACAAACTGGAGAAAATCCACCTTGCAAGCAAGATACTAAGTTTTAAAGCAATTGGTTCCCCAGGGTCACCAGGCTGGTGCATCTATGGTGAGCTTAATTGAAATCAGCAGAACATTTGAGGAGGAAGGATGAAAACAGGGCAGCTGGGAAAACAAATGTTCTTTTTTCTAATTATGCTGTGGACTCTCTCTAATGGATCCCCCTGAAGCTTCCTGATAAAGTAACTGACATATGGTACCTACTTGCAGATGGATCAGCAGAGGCAGGGATGTAATTTTGCAAACCTGAAACTCATGTTGGATTTTATATATATTTAGGATGTAGTTAATTTATATATATTGCATTCTGCATACAAATGATCATAAAATGCAGGAGGCAGATAAAGCCTACTTGGCAAAATTGACTCCCATAGAATCAGAAAAGGTAAATGAGGTATGGCAGGGGAACCGAGGGAGGAAAACATAAGAAACGCAGAAACAGCAAACATATGGGGTATCCAAACAGAGAAAAAAAAAAGGGAAGATACAGTAGTGCAGAAGCAGAAAAAAATAGAGCCTATTTTCTGTACCACAATTCCTCCTGCACTTGGTTCTTAAATAACTCCTGGTGTTGTTGAATAAATTCACTGTTAGTTTTTCCAGGTTTACATAATTTTTCATTATGTAATTTTTTCCCACCCTTTTTTCAGATGCACCTGAAAGCTGATGAATCTAGGAGGTACCCTGGAAGCGTTTTGCAGTAAGAACAAAGTTCAGTGAAAACATGCATATCTAACAGCTAAAATCTGTGCCCAGGGAACAGGTGATCTGTATTCACTTTCCCTGTGTTGGCTTATTGAATGAATAACACTATTACTATGAGCATCAAGGATAACAATTAAGTTATAAATGCTATATAGTAAGTCCTATTCTATTAACACTATGTCGTGGTTCATACAGTTGCTCTATCACCCGATGCCTATTTACCTACTGGCAGGCATTGAGAAAAGGAAAGGAGACTCTGGGTTGAAATAGAAATAGATTTCATAAAATACTACTAATAAAAACTAATATCAGTAACAGTATTAATATAAAGTACACAGAGTTATACTCAGCCATTACTGTGGGGAAGCAAGGCTCGGGTAGGACAGTGAACACCCCTCAGCCATAGATGTCAGCCATAGGAGAGGGAAGAAGGAGGAGGAGGAAGAAGGAGGAGG